CCCCTGCTCCTTCTCCCACTCATGCTCTCTCTCTCTCAAGTATACAGATCTTAAAATAAAACCCAGATCCTCCTGCCCCACATTTCCAAGGCTGCCTGGCTCTCCCCATGCTGGCCATTCAGGACATTCCTGTCCTACAAAGTAGAATCCACAAAAACCTAGATGGGGGGAACCTATGGACCTCATCTGCCACCAAGCTTGCCGCTCTATCACTCATAATGCATCTGGCATGACAAACATGCCCCTGGGCTCTTGATCTTCACTCTCTGGGGATGCCTGTCTAGAAGTTGGGGTCTTTCTCTCAGTACCTAGGATATCTGGGGCACCAAATCCACACCACCGTTCTATTGTGTCAATCCATACCATCCATTCTCTGCCAAGAGAAGTACACATTCATCAACACAGCTACCTTCTAGCATGTAGAATGGACACCAAAGTTTCTCTCCGCACGCTAAAGGTGGGCTAACTGCACATGCAATCCCAGCTCTGAGACCTCCCATGCTCCCTTGCAGCACGCAGCTGTCCCCGGCACCTCCCCCAACCCTGGAACTGAACTAATACGACGAGTGCATCATCAGTTTTACCTTACACTCTTCATCCAACAAGTCCAAGATGCCCAGCTTTGCTTCTATGAGGTCAATACAAGGTTGATTATCATAAAAATCAATCAAGGTCCAGGGGATCTGCTCCTTCATATATTCTTCTTGCTCTAGTTTGAATACATGCTACGGTAAGAAGCGAAAGGTCAAGGTCAGTGAACTGCAGGCACATCCCGACGTTCATCTCCCCTGAGCTTCAACCACATGAGCTTGGAGTCCCAGAGAAGGGTGTATACCCATCAGAAAAGGTTTGGGCACTAAGTCACAGTTGTGACTGCAGAAAAGGAGCTAGGTTCGGTGACCCCCATTTCCATGTGAGCCCTTCTCTAGAATACTCTAGTAATCAACTGGCTTGCAGTTCGGCAAATACCCCAGAAGCCCAGGATCAGGAGGCATGGGAGTCAAAACCAAGGGGAGGATCATTTACCCTCTCAACCCAGCTGCCCCATCCAGACTTCCTCCCGAGCAGCAGGGACTGCCTTCCCAAAGCTGGGGCACCACCAAGACACTAAGAGAAGGTTGGGGCGGAGCTAGCGCCCGCTGACACTGGGTGGAAGAGAAGTGCCCCAGGCTGTTGCTCCCAGGGCAAGATGTATCCCCACCCCTACACCCCAGGTCCAGGAGCCGAGCCTACCGAGTTGAATTGCTGCTGCAGCTTCTCGTTGGCATAGTTGATACAGAACTGCTCAAAGCTGTTGACCTCAAAGGTCTCAAACCTGCCGAATGGAAAGGGAGGACAAAGGGGCATTCGTCTTACCGAAGGAATCACTGGAACTTCCAACAAGGCCACTCTCATCTCCTCTCCGCCCCCATCCAGCTCCACCCTCAACTCCAGCACAGAAGTCCCTCACACAAGCCTGGGAGGGGGGCATTCTGCCCTGAGGGGGTGCCTTCTCCCAATTCACACAAAGGCCCCTCATGGGCTGGCAGTGTCCCCCCAACCAACACAAATGACTCGCTATTTAACCAATCCCCTATTATAGGGCATTTTGGTTCTTTTCCGGATTTTTAGCTGCTATCAATGCTAGCAAATGTTGTATATACATCTTTGAACTCCCGATTCTTTCTGTGGGACGCTATCATCCTAGCAGAATCACCGTGTCAGAATATGGTTTCTTAAAAGGTAGAAGGAAATTAACTTCCAGAAAGGTGGAACTAATTCATGTTATCACCCCACACCCGCCCCAGCCTCCCAATGCACGCAAGTGTGTCTGGTTGTCCTAGTATTGGTTAAGGAGGTTTTGGTTTTTGAATTCATCTTCATGAAGTTCGAGTTTACACACAATTCGATGACCATCAGATGTGCAGCTTAGAAACTGGCAGGAGGTGGGGAGAACTGATTTGGGGTAAGGTGTACAAGACCCAAGGCAGGAAGTCAGGAAGGCAATTATTACTGCAGTAATGATCCCAGAAGACCCAATCGGGGCGTGACTTAAGCTGGTGGTGACTGAGTAATGAAAAAGGATCCAAAGACACTAAGGGAGGGGAAAAATGAGAGGGCTTCAAGCGACCAATGGGGCACGGAGGCGAGATTCACTCCCACAGCCGGACAGACGTGGTAAAGCTCGCCAAGCCAGAACAGTCTAGCAGGATCAGCGGCGTTAGCTACAAATGAGTGGGGCCATTTTGTACACTGGGCAGAGTCATCAGGCCGAGGCAGTGGAGGGGCAGAAGTGCAGGAGGAAGAGGAGGCTTCTCCTCATTCACACCACTGTTGGAATGAGCACCTACTGAGAGCTCAGCCCCCAGAAGCTTCAGGAACCCTCACTCACTCAGTGCCACAACAATGTCATTCTACAAGTGGGAGAGACTAAGGCATCAGGAGACTGAATAATCTGTTCCAAATAAGAGTCAGTATGCAGAAGAGCCGAAATGTGAACCAGACTGTGATTTCTGAGGGCCACACTCTTAAGAAAAATTTCACTAAGTAAAGGAGAAAAAGATCAGGGAAGGGCAGTGGACAGGATACTTCCCAGGAGCAGGAGCATCAACAAGGCACCTGGGGGGGGTGGGGGGGGGGGGGGCACAGGCTTCAACCTCCCCATAAGCTTAAGTTTTACCCCCTCATTCTTCAGCATAGGCAAATGAATTTTCTCAATCTCATGTGAAATTATGCCAGTCTTCCCCAATAGATTGTACTCCCTAATTACCACTCCTAGATAGAAATGTCGGCGCTGCGGGCTGGTGGTATTGGAGAGGCAGCAGCCAATAGAGAATAAATGCACCAGCCAGCCAACAGGGCCATGTCAGTGCCCAGAAAACATCAGGCTTCTCCCACCTCTCGTGCCCACCTCCCCCGCCAAGGTATGAGGCATGGAGAAGTGGAGAGTCATTTTGAGATCAAAGGAGTCAACTGTTTGGAGACGACCATATTAAAAAACAGCCTTTGGTCATACCCACATAGGAGAAATAATTGTAAGTTAATAAAAGAAGATCACAGATGCAATGTCCAGGTAGGAGCTGCGCTCCAGGCCATGCAAGAGAGGGCACTGTGCCGGCTGTCCTGCTGCACTGGGGGCCCCCTCAGTCCAGGTGATGGCCCTAGACATGGAGTTTTGTCACTTAGAACCTCACTTCCTCCCCCACCCCCATCGCACCCCAACACAGGTTGCTGACACGAGCAAACCCCCAGAGGAAGCTTAATAAAACCTACAGGAAAGATAAAAGAGTCACCCTAGCAATTGGCCAGATAATAGCGATCGGGTGTTCGCGCAGGGCTTGGACTGAGCTCCACAGATAAAGGATTCGAGAATCTCCCACTTGTCATTTCTTAAAGGTTTATGTTGGTAGCACTCCACCAAGAACATTCTTATTAATTTGAGATGGCCTAAAATTAGCTCACAATTTCCCTATTTCTAAGATAGGATCTGGTAACAATTCCTCTGCCATCTAGTGTAATTACTGTCCTGTCTGAAGGGCCAGAGATGAATGAGGGGTCTGGGGAGCTTGGACACTGTCTAAAAGATAACAGACCTCAGAAAGGCACAGCCAGGGAGATAGGGCAACTTCTCTACAGTAGGATTATATCTGTAGTAATTCTTCCCATCACCAGAGATGATTTTTTAAAATAAACACAATGGATCAATTTATAGTTCACAACATTAAACTGTCACAAAGAAATTTATATACTAGAGGGAATTGGATTTCTCCTGTACAATCAATGTTGAGAATATTTAGACCAGAATCCTTGGGTGGGAGAAAGGCAAAACAGAGTAAGACTTGATGCTGAGACCCAAGGCCTGTATTCCTGGTGGTACAAACATCACCCCTACCTTCACTAGCCTCCTATCCCCGAAACATCGAAGAGGATAGAATTTCCTTCTGGCTCTGCTCCAATTTCAGGGTGTGGTAAGGGCCACAAATGTCCCTAAAAATAAGGTAGTGTCTGCTGGAAAGTGAAACTGCAATAAAAGGAGGTCAACCAGGCCCTCTGAGTTAATTATTAACCTCCACAAACCTCTTGCTCCAGAGCAGAGGCCATGCGAGGCTTTTACGGGCTGGGAAACAGCTCTTCCCCTGGAGCATGGCTCAAAGGAACCCAGCTTCTTAGCTCAGTCTCCTCTCTCTTACCAAGACCATGCTCTACCCTTCTACCAAAGGTCAAATGACAAAATATGGGTTGTAGGTTGGATATAGAGCGGGGGCTGCCAGGGAATGATTATTAAAAGTTGGACAAGTCCTGTCCAGGACTTTCTCTCCTGAAGCCCATGAAACCTCACAAGGGCACCCTGTGGTCTGTTCACGAGGCCAGCCCCTCTGATCTCTTTACTAAATAATCTGGGGATGCTGGCCATACCCTTGAACTCTGTTCTTATGCTTCTCTGTGCCTAGATGCTCCCACACAGGATTTGGTCTTCAGGTAGGGCACAGTACTAGGTGCTGCTCACATCCCAAGGCCAAGAACGGTTATTCTTCTGGAGGACCTAAGTCCCTTTACTTTGCAGTGTGCTCCAATTCCCTGCTCCTCTTTGTGCCAGGAACCCCGGTGTGGGACAGAAAAATGCCGACCATATGGAAATCCTCTCCCAGCCCATCAGTCAACTGTCTCAAGAACTGCAAGGGCTGCAAAACACCTATCAGGAAGACCACAGGAACCCAGTATATGCAACCTCCCAAGGAACAGAGATTTGGTGCGTTATAGGACTTTAATGGTGGGTGAGCTCATAGGGGTGACAGCACAGACAGAGAGAACTGTGACTTTTATCTGAGCCTTAAGAATATGTATGGGTGTCTGGCTCCAGGCACACTCCCAAGAGCTATGTCAGAGAGATTCTGGAAGGTTGAGATGGACTTTAGGGCAATCTGAGTTACAAGGCTCCCCCAGGAGACTCAAAGATTCCAGGGCAAACCCAATGGCTTCAGGGATCTGCTAGATCTGACAATACTGGGGCCAGCCATGTATGTTTACACTGAAGATGACATGTCCAGGGATCTTCTCGGCTGCCCACACCTGGTCCACTGTTTATAGGCTGGAAGGAAAATGTCACTGACTTTTCCCCCTCCGTTCACCACAAAACCTTTTCATACTGGTCAGAGAGGAGCTAGGTAGTCTTCTCTGAATAACTAAATTGGAACTATAAAACTAAGTCTATTTTGAAGATGGAGACCAAGAAAACAAAATATCCATTAAAATGAAGGCAAACAGTGGGCCTAAGAAATTTAAGATATATCATTAAAGGCAACTTAGGTATAGTAGGAAGTATTATATACAAAGACCTCTTACAACAACAAAAAGCAAACAACAAAAAATGGGCAAAGGACTTGAACATTTTTCCAAAGACGATATATGAATGGCCAAGACGCATATGAAAAATGATCAACATCACTAATTGTTGGAGAAATGCAAATCAAAACCACAAGGAGAGATTAACAAGTGTTGTCAAGGATGTGGAGAAATCAAAACCCTTGTGCACTATTGACAGGAATGCAAGGTGGTGTAGTCACTATGGGAAACAATCTGCAGGTTCCTCAAAAAGTTAAAAATAGAATTGCCATACGATCCAGCAATCTCACTTCCGGGTATATGTTGAAAAGAGATATTTGCGCACCCTTGTTCATTGTAGCATTGTTCACAACAGCTCAGAGGTAAAGGAAACCCAAACATCCATCGGCAGAAGAGTGGGTAAACAAAATGTGGTGTATAGACACACTGGAGCATTATTCAGCTTTAAAAAAGGAAATTCTGTCACAGGCTGCAACACGGATGAGTCTTGAGGACCTTGCGCTAACAGAAGCCAGTCACAAAAAGATAAATGTTATAGGATTCCACTTACATAGGCATCTTAACGTAGTCCTAAGTCCCAGAAACAGTGCTGAATGGTGGTTGCCAGGGGCTGGTGGGAGGGGAAAAATGGGAGCTGTTCAATGGGTATAAAGTTTCAGTTTTCCAACACGAAAGAGCTCTGGAGTTCTGTTGTGCAACAATGTGAATATACTTACCACCACTGAACTGTACCTTTAAAAAATGGGTAAGATGGGGGGTGCCTGGTGGCTCAGTCAGTTAAGCGGCTGCCTTCAGCTCGGGTCGTGATCCCAGGGTCTTCGGATCAAGCCCCGTGTCAGGCTCCCTGCTCAGTGGAGAGTCTGCCCCTCCCCACCCCACTCATTCGCTCTCTCCCTCTCTCAAATAATAAAATCTTTCCAAAAAATGGTTACAATGCTAAGTTTTATGTTAGGTGCTTTTCCAGCTACAGTTTTAAAAAATTATTTAAAAAAAAACCATATTGTTAAAAAGCACCGAGCAGAGATGGATGCTAGTTTAAAGTCAGGAAATACAAGAAACAGAAAATAGTGTCAGAACTGAGGATAGAAAATCCCAGCAAACCCATTTCCTGCCTCCTGGGGCCCACCCCGCTCCTCTCCACCGCTCCCCCCTCACCGTTCCTCAGCATGAGGCGCGAATCTCCACCCTGCCTTCCTCCACGCGTCTCCTAGGCCAACTGTCCTCAGCAAGACCGGGCTGGCCCCAGCCAAAGCCCCTGCCACCCTGGCATGTCTAAGGCTCAAGGCAAAAACAAATAAATGCCTTTTTCCCTAAATTGAAGCCGTCTATTTCTTCTTGCCTCGAGGAGGGGAGAGGAATGAAGGATTCCAATTCCAATTCCAATTCCTCAAGCCTGGAGAGGCAAGCACTGGTTAATGTAACATGAAAAGGAAAGCCCGGCCAAAAGTTGCCCAGCTCTGTCCTATTAATTTCCACCCCCCGCCTGGTAGGAAACACCCACAGGCAGCGGGCAGCGTTGCAGATCCTTACTGAAGGGAAAGAGATGGTCTCAGGTTGGCCACATTGCTCCGTGGGTGTTGCTTGCTTTGCACTTTTTGGAGCTGAGGCAGGGGAGCAAGTTGTAGGGAAACCATCCTTCTTGCCAAGCCACCGGGTGTCAGGAAACGGTCAGGAGAACCTGGGGGCCTGGCCTCTGAGCAGCAGCTCACCACAGTTGCGCCATTTGTCTGGGGGTTCACAGCTTTTTCTACTGTCCGAACCACCAGTAAGAACGTGTTAAGGGGGGTACCTACGGGTGATGCTGGTTCATGCACTGTTTTCTTATCTACAAGAAATGAGTCTTCACTCTGATTCTGTAGTAACATTTTCAACATTTACAGAAAATTCTGGAGTGGCTCACCCACCCTAGAGAACCCTTTTCAGTTGTTTCTAGAAGGAGCTTGACTAGTGAGCCAGTAACTTCCTGAATAGGGGCTAGAGTTCATCTGGGGACAGTTATCCCAGTAATTACTAATTAGTGTCTACTTGCTGGGGAGAGGGTGGCAATCCCACTCTCATTTGCTAGCTTCACGCATTTGTAACCTGATTAAGAGGGAGATAATTCCTTATTCCTTTCTTCCTAATGAATGGGGTTGAATGTATTCAGAAGCACACCCCCACCATCCTTCCCATTCTTTCTAGCGTTCACACGCCGCTCTTTTTGCTCACAGATGACAAGAAAGAAGACAATCAAAGACTTTAGGTCATCCCAAGGGCATCTACGTGCACCATGTCTCCCCGTCCTAGGGCTGAGACACAATGAGACCGTGGGGAGATGGTCCCTCCCTCTCGCCCTCTCTACTGTTTGGTGGTCAGGGATTTGCGTAGAAAACTCAAAAAATAAAAAATAGTGCTGGAGTTTTCTGATGCCATGGAGGAGGATGAATTCCTCCTTCAAACCACTTCCCATAGTTACATTAGGAATGAAGTGTAAAGACAGGAATCAGTTTGGAATTGGGGGGGTTGGGTGGAGAAGACAAGTGGAAGAGTGTCAGGTGTGACACCCATCCCAAATAACGGAGGGATGGCCACATTACAAAAAAAAAAAAAAAATCCAGTGGCTTTCTGGAAGGCATCTGAGTCCATCGGAAAAGAGACAGACACCAGGATTGCAAAAGGGAGAGGACAGTAAATAGCTCAATGCAAGGGCAGCACAGACTTCCACCCAACGTTGTCATTTTCTTCCAGATGAAGAAATGATGTCACTGACCCAACGGAGCAGAAACAGTACCACCAAGGTCCAAGTGACCTGCTTGCCTGTGGTGAAGTTTTTGGTTTTAACCTCCTACGAGTTCATTACATACCCTCTGGCCAGAAGAGAAAGCCTAGGCCAGCGCAAATTTTTACAGTAATTTCTCGGCAGACTCGAACTGCTGAGGAGCATGCTTACAGACATTCCGGGAAAGTCTCTGAGTGCTTTCTTGGCAACAGATGGCCCATATAGAGAGCCAGCTCGTCAACTCTGAGCCCACCCCGTATCTAACTTGCCATCTTGAACTCTGCCGAGAGGGTAGGAACATGGAACTACATTGAGCATATGCAGGAATATGGCATTAGATCTCTGCAAGAGGAGAGTGCATTACTTTGCAAACAGGACCACTTTGGGGCACAGTGTGAAAAAGGAAATGAGCTCCTAAGAACGAACAAGGATTTAAAAAAGAGAAAATAAAACAGCATAGCATGTCTGAAGGAAGCACAAAGGGTAGGAAACGTCTCAAGTACGCCAGTCCGTGGCCCTACAGCGGGACTCTGCTCTCACCGGACAGCTGTTGGATGTCCTGATGCACAGGTCAGGAGACAGAGTTCTCCGGCCTCCCACCTCACCACGGGCCCAATCAACTCAAACCACAGACAAGCCTTCTCTGAAATCAGTTTCTCCCCTCTGTGCAGTCACAGGACTTGAGAACAGACTCAACAATGAAAAAGTAAACGGCAAATAGAAGCACAAAATCCAGCTTGCACGAGCCCAGCTGGTGTCTCCAGACCCAGCAGCGCGACACGCCAGGAAGGAGCAAAGCCTTTCACTGCGGATGCCCGGGAAGGGATGACCATCTCTGTGACGAACGGCGCCGCGAAGACAGCAGGGAACCATAACAGAGGTGAGCAGTGGAAGCACGGAAGTCACGACGTTTTCACATGCTATTCACAACACTGAGCCTGCCTATTCGTCTTCCCAGATCAGAAATACAGTAAATTAGATTCTTGCCCGGGTACAGTCAGGGAATCGGGTCAAATGCTGTAGCCGGAGTTTCTCTGGGTCTTACTTCAGAAGGGAACACTAAAGGTCAGGTTTTTGGGGGGAACCCAATTTCCTGAAAATACTCATGACAGAGAGAATAACGGAATTACGGACAGTGAGGAGGTAGGTTCCCAGGGTATGGACTGGCCTATGCTCTCCACAGAGAAATGGGAGGGGCTGAGCACAAAGCAGGCACTCAGCGGCCAAGAGGAGAAATGCCCCGTACCCGGCTGCTCGGATAAAACCCTGAAGCACCCTGAGGAAGACGCATCCTCCTGTTCCCCGCTCTCGGGTGATGCTCCACTGCTGGTTCACCAGCTATGAGGTTTCCCTTCCACACTTTGCTTTTTCCTACCATCACAACAGTGCTCCCGTTCCCAAAGGTGCTGCCCCCACCTCCCGTATTTTACTCCCTCCCTTTAAAAGATCCAGTTCAAACCCCACCTTCCACACAAAGCTTTCCCTGACGGTGCCAACGAGCATGCCCTCTCCTGACTCGATACTCATCCCACACTGAGTGTCCAAACCCTCAAGTGGACTCTGCTATTTCTTCTGTTGCCTCGTTGTATTATGTAGCTCACGTATGGGCCTTAGTTCTTCAGCAGGCCTTTGTGACACCAGAAATCAAGTTTCCTTCTTCCATGTCCTCCACACCCTGCAACACGGTTTGATTTGAAACCCGACAGTGAACAAGAGCAGCAGAGATGTAACTAGAACAGCCTATCTTTGCATGGGGACGTGGCCGCTTCTAGGACGTTCTCTTTGCTCTAGTCTCAACATAAGGCAAGTTCTCAGCTCATCAGCCCACCAAGCAGCTGTTTCCACTACAGCAGCCCTGTTCTTACAACTCTGCACTTCCGTGGGTCTGAATTTCTATTTTAAGACAGAAGCCATAACCTTCTGTGATATAAAGTCCCAGGAGGATTCAATCTATTATTGGCTTAAAGAAGGCAAGACACTGATCATAAAAGATGTGCAAAGGAGGCTGCAAACCAGGACATATAATTTCAAAGAACTCTAGAAGGATCTGGGAAGAACCTGAGAGAGACTGTGGCTCAGCGCTTCACTTCAAGCTATCGAAACAAAATTCCAGAAAGAGGCTGTGATCTGTGGAGCGTCATCCAGCGAGCTGGGGCCAACGTGAGTTGTACCACCTGTCTCCTGACGCCTAGTCACGTCGACTTTCCGCTGAGCCATGTTGCCTCTCCCTGAAAAAGATGCTGTTATAAATAAGTCCTTGCTGTCAGGCTGGAATTCTGAAAGGAAGAGAAGCCTCAAGAATGACCACACACAAGTCTTAGAGTGCTGGGCAAAATCATGGTATTATAATAACCATCGTGATAGGGAATACAGTGAATTAGATCAGATGGTAGATTTGAATAGAACAGCTAAGACACAAAGCCTGAAATTGCGTTCAGAGCAGCTTCCGGTCCAATGTTGGGCAAGACCCTTCCCTCTCTGGGCCTGTTTCCCAGTTGTGAAGAAGGGTGTGTACGGGGCTTCTCCATGGAGGAGCTACTGGGGTTTTGGAACTCTTCTTTGGAACTGTCCTCCATGTTTTCGGACACCTAGCATCCCGAACCTCAGGCCACTAGGTGCCAGTAGAGACCCCAGGCACTGTGATAACAAAAAATGTTCCCACATGTCACATCCCTGGTTGAGAATCGGGAAGCCTGGGGAGCTTCTCCAAGGCCCGCTGCCAACTCTGAAATGCTAGCAGGAAGACACACCTGGGGCTCAGATGGGTAAGCGTCTGCCTTTGGCTCAGGTCAGGATCCCAGGGTCCTGGGATCGAGCTCTGCGTCGGGCTCCCTGCT